GCAGTAAGACACTGTGTAGTGAGCTTTTACTGTCCTGTACTTTGTACACATGAATAATATCAGTTCAGTGAATCTAAGAATGTGGAAGGGAGGGGTGGGAAAATGGAGGGGCAGGCTTCTGTCTCGTGTCTATGCCATTCCTTCTGGGGAGGCCAGAGACCAAAACGGAAACACATGTTCTACAGCCCAGAACCCAAACTGCAAAGCACCATGGGATGGGGGAGCAGAAGCAGGACCCAGGAAATACAGTAATTAAATAATACAATCAAGGCTTAAATTTCCAAGTTGATTCTCGGGTATCATTTATAAAAGTTAACAGGGCATATTTAATTTAGGAATTGGCTCACGTCTCTCCTTACAGCTGAAACCTCATAAATGAAATACACTGGATCATTGCCCAGTGCGGAAATAAAAGTTATGAATAATGTTTCTATCTCAATCATTGTCACTGCTTTAATATTCCTAATTACTTTAAAAAGCTAGATATTCAATATAGGCAAACTTTTTTCCTTTTTATCTCCACTTGTGAGATTAGTGCAATTTAATAAGAGTTACCCTGTCATCTTTATTCAGTGTAAACTGACATTTCATCCTTTTACTCTTCATTATTATATGGGATGGAGGTTTATGACCAAGCATGCAGCCACTCCATTCCCCCACATCGGTCCGTCTAACATCTTGGAATTATCCACAACAGCTGACGTGTCTCCCCACCAGGCAAATCAGAATCACTTCGCTTCCTTTATGAAGCAGAAAGAAATGAGTCCAGACCTTAAGGAAATTAGATGACGGGGTTATAAGCCTGTAAAAGAAGGAAAAGGCCCCCACCCCCCCAACCCCACTGCTGGATTTGTCCCTTTTATGACCGTCAAAGTCATAAATCCCTTGGCAGCCACAAGGGCAGGGCAGAGGCAGGCAGGAGGGTGATGGATCTTTATAACCCTCCCTGCCACTTCCAGGAATTTATCCTAAGAATGAACAGGGGCAAGTGGGCAAAGATACACGCACAAGAAGAATCGCTACAGCATTTTCACACACAGCCACAGTCCCTTGTCCACAGTCCAAAAATCCCTAAGAAGTCCTAAAGAAATGTTTTTCAAAGTTCAGCACCAAAATTCTCTTGGAAGCAGAATCTTCATGGAACTGATCTGTGGTTATGTATGGTCTTTCTGTCAGTAGATATTATCAGTCATATGTCACTTCAGAAATATTACTATGTTCATGCCAGGGTGCTGCCCAGACCCCTCTGGGAGTATATGTCATATAAGACATAGTTACCATATACTTTTTAAACTCTGAAAAAGCTAAGTTCTGAAAGCAACAGGCCCTAAGGAGCTTGAATAAAGGGTGGTGAGTAGTGAAAAAATCAGAAACAACCTAAATGTCCATCAACAAGAGACTAGTTAATGCTTTTGGGAATCCATAGCATGAAATTCTATAAGGCCATGAAGAATTTTAAGGGAGAGTCATGCTTATTGACAAGGAAATGAGTGCATGACATAAAGTTAAAAAACAATTTACAGAACAGTACCTACATTCGCTCTAAATCATAAAAGGTGTAGGCAGATGTAGCTCTAAGTTTGCAGGCGTGTGGAGGAATGACAAGGTGGGCAAGTTCCCCAAATGCCAGGAGTGGTGATCCCTGGTATGGGAGCCTAACGTTTGTGCCTATGCTTTTGGTACAGTCTGAATTTTCTTCTTAACATGAGCAGATATAATTTTAGAATCAGGAAACAAAAAAACAAGAAAGCTGCTTTCAATTAAACAAAAAGCAAACCTTCCCTGCAAGGTGTCACATGTATATGGACAGATCCCATTCAGACATCTCAGAGATACACACTGTGCCAACTGGAACATCCGCCCCATGGACACAGGCCCCGCAAAGGCCCTGAGGTACACACAGGCAGGTAGACACCCAACAGCATAATAGCAAGCAGGCTCAAAGTGCTTGGAATAAACCTAGTAACAATTTGTGTCCCATAGTTCGTTCATCTATCTCCACAACAACATTACAGGGCCACATCTTTCACATAGATCCTTCCTTCTCCTGTGAGTATGTTTTCTCATCAAAGGCCTATTTCAACCTTAGGCTGTATTAAAAGCGGGTGAGTACCCAGAGGAAGAAGAACATAACAGTTAAGAGTTCAGGTTTTTCTTGGTGGATAGTCCCAGTTTCACCATTTAGTAGCCATACGTTTGTTGAAAATTCTTTAACCGTTCTGTGCTTCAACTTTCTCATCTGTAAATGGGGCTGATAATAATTCCTCGCTATGAAGGAATTCAATGGGAGGATAAAGTCCCTAATGCAGAGTGAAAGTCAATAAAGAATCCATTTCTCTATTATTTTTCCATGCAAGCCAGCAGTTGTGGGGGTCAGATCTAGGAATGACATTTTAGGAGGAGCAAAGGCCACCAGCAATGCAGAGAAGTCAGATGATGAAGGCAGTTCAGGCCACATCACGTGAGAAACAAAGGAGCTGCGAACACAGCAACTTAGGGAAGGAAGTAATCGCCTTCTTCTAATACCTGAAGGGCTACCCCATGGGAGGGCACTCGGGTGTCTTCTATGCAGCCCCAGGGGCTAGGATCAACCACTCTGAGATGAACATCTTCTCACACAGTCTGTGGTCTTGTCTACTGAGCAACTTGGGAGAAATTCTAGACATGGCTAGGAGGGTCATGGCAATCCATCCCCCTGCCCTGGACTTCATCATGAGTGAGAACCAACTGGTAGAGGCTGGAGACAAATTTCCACTCAACCAAAGGGGAAACTTTCCAACAGTCAGAATGTGCTTCCATAGGAGGCAGGAAGCCCCCTGCTAATGGACAGACTGAAGCAGAGATTGGAAAGCTCTTGGCAGGCATTTAAACAGTCAATGCTCTGATTGTGAAAGTGAGAGTCTGGGGATTCCCTTAACTTAATGTTGCTATCCCTCAAAACAGGGTGGGAACTCATTTTAGAACTTCCTAAGGGTTGGGTAGTACATGTGTTTGAGTAAACCTAGGGGGGGTGGCTCTTTAACCCTGGAGGGTGGATTTAATTAAGGAAACAGCTTGTGAGTTGCTCAGCACCAAGTCTGATGACTGAATCGGGGGTGGGGAAATGAGACAGCCCAGCTTTGTGCTACAAAGTAACAAGGCCAGCTCCCTGCATGCTTGGTAAATTCACACTAGGGGAAAGATTTTCTCTAAACTGCCTAGTCCCTTTCAAGGACTGCCACCTTCCTTCTATCCTTTCACCAGACCGGAACTCTGGGAGATGCAGACCGGGTCCGAGAGACCCTCCAGGGCCTGCCCCTGCCCAGCACGGCCATTGTATAGTGAGCACCAAACCTATTTGCACTGATTGGCGATTTGTACTCACTCAGAGACCCCAGGACTCAGGCTACTTGTCACCCTCCAACAGGCTGCCCTCAACACGATAACCCAGCAGCAGGAAGCAGACCGTCCCAGCAAGGGCTCGGGGAATCCAAGTTAGGTAGTTCTTATCGAAGACTGGTTGTGCGCAAAGTTACACAAAACCAAACACGGACACAGGGCACAATGCTCTCAGACATTTCAGCACGTTTCCTGTAGTTCACAGAAAGACATTCCATTAAACTCACGGGTCCCTCAGGTTTCCTTTTCACTGTGCAGAGTCCCTGGACCCGTTTCTCAGCAGGGCCGACCTCGAAGCAGCAAAGTGAGTAGGAGGAGGCCACGTGGTCACCAGAGGCCCCACTGCCCTGGAGAGCGTCTCTCAAGCACCCCAGACAGATCCTGGACTCTCTAAGCCAAGAAAACCACCCAGGCTCAAAACAAAACCACATCCAATAGCTTTCTTTGGCCGGTGTATTCTCATGCCCTGGGCAGCCAGGGAGGCTCCAGTCAAGGCCTTTGGAAAGAAGGACCACAGATGTTTCCATCCCAGCAGAGAGAATGGGAAAGGGCACCACATTGGGCCAATGGGCCCACCTTTCCCCTCTGCAAGTTTTCATGCCCGCTCTAGACACTGCAGGACAGCGAATAGGGAGGTGGCTCCCCAAAATAGGTAAACAATGGAGTGAGACCCCTCCAGGATCAGCCTAGCTGTGTTATCTACTCAAGTCACAGGTAAGCCACAATACAGCAATAGTCGATCCCTGCTCACAGAAGGAAGAAAAGTGGGCTTTACACTAATCAAGGCCTCTTTGAAAACAAAGTAAGACTGTACCGTGAACCAACCATTGACTGTGATGTGTGCCAACGGAGAGGGGGTCTGGATATAGCAGTACACAGAGTATACAGTCAGGGAAATGAGCCAGAGGAGAAGGAGGAGTTTTTATCTGGGCTTTTAACAGAAAATTCCCTGAGCAACAGCTGGGTGTACCCTGCCCTTTCGGGGCCAGCCCCACAGTGGGTACAGTGCCCCGTACTGCGGGGCTCCCTCGGTCAGTCCCAGGAGCACCTGCCCAGTCTGTGCTGAATAGGAAGCCTTTCCTGGAGAATGTGAACTGTCTACTTCGGGAAATGTAGGAGCACAGTGACCTACCCCTACAGGTGTCCTGCTCTCCTGCCTGTGGGGACTCAGAGGCACCCCAGTGCCCACCAGTCTCATGACTCAGTCCCTTGAGTCTCTGTGAGCACCCACAAAACTGAGTGTGCCTTTGGACCGGCAAAGCCGAGGAGCAGGTCTTGACCTCCCAGGTCTGCACCTTTGGGTGGCATTTCAATTTCACTTCAATCCTTAAAAACTGAACTTAGAGGTGTTTTATGAGAAGTCAGAGTTGTACAGCTGACCACCACAAGTCCCTACTATACCCACAACACACTCTGCTCCTCCAGACCTCCACAGACCATTACCCCTACACCCCTCTAACGCCTTCCACCCGAGCAACGTCACATGGTAAACTGCAGGTACACCTCCTCCCTGATGGCCTGCTCACCTGGGCAGCCACAGACCAACACGACAAATGCAGCATGGACCCTCCCCAGCCAGAGCCAGAGGGCCACTCCACCCCCCAAGACCCCCCAAGACTCACCGCTAGAGCAGTCGGGCCCTCCCCAGCCAGGCTCACAGTGGCAGGTGTCCGGGGAAACACAGCGGCCATGCACACACTCCTCGGTGCACAGGGCTGCAGGGGGCCGGGAGAAAAGGAGAAAGAACAGGAACAGACAGTGAGAACCAGCCACCTGGTCAAGGAGCAGAAACCACTTTGTAATGATTCCCTGGGGCCCAGGGATGCTCAGAGTGCATCACTGGCTTTGGGGAAATCAAGCTACTCTAGACCTGAGTCATTTAATTAACTCCAAAGTGGGTCCAATAAGAATATGCTTCCTCCAACCCCCATTTCCTAAAAGGAAACCCCAGCCCGAGATATGGGAGCTTTTCAAGAATATTTCCTGCAAGACTTAACACGTGGAGAGCTGCAAGCCCCAAGCCCTACACCCCGACTTCCTGCTCTCTTCTCCATCAGCCCAGGAAAGGATCATCACGTCCATCTTTTGCTTTCCCCAATATCTTTCTGCAAAGGCCCCCAAATTTATCAGGCTGCCTGAAAAGAACAGGCTCCCCTCCCTTTCCCCCACCTTTCTGCCCTCCTTCCCAGATGTCCCTATTTTGGGGCTCTCAAATGTCAGCAAATCTGCAAAGAACACAAATGCTGAGGAAAAAGCAACAGCTAATTATAAGAAAGTAATTAAGAGAGACATCCACGGTGATGATAATTGTAATTAAAAGAGCCTGGCAATTTCTTATCACGCAGTCAAATGCTACAGCCTCCTGAGTTGGGAGGCAACGGCCGCAAAGTCCCCATCAACTTACTGCAGCGCTGGGGAGGCTGACTTGGCAGCACTTTGAGGAAGGGGGATTAGTTCTCTCTTCCTTTGACATCCACATTTTCTCAAGGTCATCCTTTGCTCCTGAGAGATCTGCCCTACCATCTAACCCATCAGTGAAGGATTACAGAAAAGCCCCATTTGCCACCCCTGCCAATTTTGTAGGCTCAGGAAACCAGCAGCTACCGTCAACCCTGTCAATTTCTTAGGCTTCTAGGTGAAGCGCTTTTTTCCTGACAAGCAATGAGGGGCCAGTTCTCTCTGCCTGGAACTGGCCTGGGCTGGGGGAGAAGGGGGCTCCAAATGGTGAGTTGCAAGGGGCAGCCACTGACCTCCAAACACCCACCCTGACGCCATGCCCACTACCAGGCCTGCCTGCCCAGGAAGCAGGTGCTGTCAGATGGCACGACAAAGCCCATTTTATGGTTGGCATGGGGTCCTGGCCTCTCCAACCACAGATGCTAACCCTGAAGCTGTTGCCTTGACTTTGCCCAGGCTCCCGGCAAGGCACAGCCAGGAAAGCCATTTCAGATGCCCCACTGGTCAGTGGTCTACCGTCAGCCTGCCTGCTCTAGGGAGCACCCAGGACCTAACAGCCAACCCTGTTCTCACTGGGGAACCTGGCTGGACCCTGACCCCTGTGACCAGCTCCACTTAGAACCACGGTGAGCTGCTCACCCAGCTGCTAATAAGACCTCAGCTGGTCACCCCTGCTGCCCTGGCCCCCCTCCACCACCAGACTTTCCAAACAAGCACAAATGGGTCAGTGTCTCCAGGACACATTGGACACCAGGTGTCTATCCCCTGGCTCCCCAGCCAGCTCCCAGCCCTGGCTTTAACCACTTCTTTTCCCCACCCTCTGCCTTCCCATCAGCTGAGGTCCCAGCATGCTCCACAGCTGGGCCGCTCTGCCTTCCTGTGGACCCCTCCCATCAGCTTGTCAGACTGGCTCATGACACCTGCACCTGCTTTCTGCCTGCAGACAGCAACACCTTGATCCCTGGGGGTTTTGCTGGGGGCGGTAAAGGCAGGCAGGGAACCGTCAACCTGCCCAGGGTCAGGGCTGGAAGAGTCCTCGGAGAAAATCATGTCCAACCCCTTCATTTTGTACATGGAGAAACTGAGACCCACTAGTTCATGACCTTATGGACAACGTGAGGTCTCTTGGTAAGGAAGGAAGGAGCTTGGGGATGAGGCTCCGGGAGACAGAGGCCTCTGAGGCCAAAGGGAGGTGAGGGGTGCCCAAGACCAGGCCTTCACCTCTCACCCTGGCCAGGTGTCCTTCCCTGCTCAGATGGCTCTGGGGCTGGGGTGCCAGTCCAGAGGGACAGCACAGGGGTGCTGTGGTTGACCCCAGGAGGGTGACAGCTGGCGACAGAGGGCAGAGGAGTGCTTCAACACACTGAGCACCCTGTAGGCAGGGGGGCTGGGCAGGGGGCTCAGAGCAGCTCACATGGGAAGGAAGAATGGTGGAGACCACCTGGCGAGTGCCCTGCCAACCCCTGCCTCGGCCCTTCTGACCCTAGAGGCCTGACCACTGGCCTACCGCCTACAGCATCTTCCCAGCAGGGAGGGGAGGGGCCCTCAGTGGCTCTGAGCACGCTCCACACTGCCTTTTCCCCTGGTCTCTCCCCAGAGGCCCAGGGACACCTAGGACAGTCGGGGGGCACCTCCCCAGCTCAGCCCTGTACGCAGCACACTGGCTCCCGGTGACTGCACGTGGAGTCCGCCAGACCCGGGGCCTGACTCCAGGGGGGTGGCTGCTGTGCCTGGGGTCCCTCCAGACCTCACTGCCCCTCTCCCTTCATCGCCCCAGTATCATGTTGGGCTATTTGCTTGTCAAAACCTCAATCCATTTGTATGTCATAGGTGCTATTTAGACAGTGTTGTTTGAACATAAAATATTGATAGCAAACATCCAAAGCTCAGATGGCCATATTTGGCAATTGGGCCACTGTGTGTTTGTGTACCTGGTGGGAGGGGGACAGGATGGGGGTGCTGGGAGGAGAGTCTCCTGAGGAGGAACAGAGGTTAGTCATGACCCTCCCTGGCCACTGACTCTCACCCCGAACTCTGGTGTAGCCCAGTGGTGGGGAGCCCCTCTGCAGAGCGCTGGGGTTTACATAGCAGCCACTCCTGAAACATGCAGGTCCCCTAAATTCTTTCTGTCCCCAGTTCCCATGTCAGCTGACCCAATAGGAGGGGCTGAGTAAGGGTTTTACAAGCCTGGCCTCCCTCTTCTCTGGCTGCCGTGACTCTAAGCGGGGACATGCTGTCAAGTCCCTCTTTCCGCTGCCGCACACACATCTGCTGTCACGGATGGGGAGTCAGGCTGGCCCTGACGTGACCCGCTATGTGCACAGCCACTTCCCCTCTCCTTCCCAGCCCCACGGAGAAATATGAACCTCTGCTCTCAGCTTCCCCCCACCTACAGTCCTGCCTCTGCGCTGCTTCCAACCTCCTGGCCGCTAGGAGCATGTTTAGTGAGAAGCAGCCCAGCACAGAGGTTAAGAGCACAGACTGCACCCAGGAAGCCAGGTCTGGACCCAGCGATGTCACTTAGGAGCTCTAGACCTCGAGCAAGTTACTGCCATCTCTGTGTGTCAGTCCCCATCTGTTCAATAGAGGATGGGGACAGGATGGGCCTCAGGCTTTGTGTGAGGCTAATGGGACCTGACAAAGTACCCAGAGCAGTGCCTGGAGTAGAGTAAGTGCTGAACAAGTCACTGTTGGTACAGCAGGGTGTCCTCAGACCTGAGACAAGGTCCTGGCGATGCCTCAGCTCCTTTCACGCACAGACTGTCTCCCTCGCTCTTTCCCTCGCTCTTTCCCTCACTGAGGGCTTGGACTACCTCATGGTTTGTTGCAAAGACTTAATGCAACAATACACATAAAGTGCTTAGACCAGTGCCTGGCACACAGGAAGTGCTCAGAGAGCACGAGCTGCTCTTATTATTTCACCCACCCAACTACAAATGCTTGGGGAGGGCATGGTGTTCCCTAAGCCAGGCTGCAGAGGTCAGACACAGAGACGTCACCAGATCTCTGGACCCTGCCTCTTAGCTCAGGCTGTTTCTAGCCCTGTGAGGCCAGGGGACTGGCGGTCTCGAGGGCTGATGGTGGGGGTTGCAGAACAAGCCCCACCATGGGCCTAAGGACACCTGGCTTTGCGACTAACAGCATCTGTCTCAGGGATACCAGGCAACTTGCTTTCTTCACCAGGCCCTGCAACTACATCTATAATCAAGATTAGGCCAGAAGAACCCTAAAGCCCTGCTCAGCTTAGAGTCACCACGAGCTGTCATCCTCCCCAGCCTGTCCAGGCAATGCCCAGATTGCTGCCACTGCCCTGGTCCCACTTCCTGGCTTTCGGGCACCATCTCCTTTCTGTGGCCTAGTAAACCCCTACTCCTACGTCCCAGTGACCCCTGGGTTTCTGTCCTCCATGCCTTTAGAAACAGCACTGGATTAGGAAGGTCCCAGCATGCTCCACAGCTGGGCCGCTCTGCCTTCCTGTGGACCCCTCCCATCAGCTTGTCAGACTGGCTCATGACACCTGCACCTGCTTTCTGCCTGCAGACAGCAACACCTTGATCCCTGGGGGTTTTGCTGGGGGCGGTAAAGGCAGGCAGGGAACCGTCAACCTGCCCAGGGTCAGGGCTGGAAGAGTCCTCGGAGAAAATCATGTCCAACCCCTTCATTTTGTACATGGAGAAACTGAGACCCACTAGTTCATGACCTTATGGACAATGTGAGGTCTCTTGGTAAGGAAGGAAGGAGCTTGGGGATGAGGCTCCGGGAGACAGAGGCCTCTGAGGCCAAAGGGAGGTGAGAGGTGCCCAAGACCAGGCCTTCACCTCTCACCCTGGCCAGGTGTCCTTCCCTGCTCAGATGGCTCTGGGGCTGGGGTGCCAGTCCAGAGGGACAGCACAGGGGTGCTGTGGTTGACCCCAGGAGGGTGACAGCTGGCGACAGAGGGCAGAGGAGTGCTTCAACACACTGAGCACCCTGTAGGCAGGGGGGCTGGGCAGGGGGCTCAGAGCAGCTCACATGGGAAGGAAGAATGGTGGAGACCACCTGGCGAGTGCCCTGCCAACCCCTGCCTCGGCCCTTCTGACCCTAGAGGCCTGACCACTGGCCTACCGCCTACAGCATCTTCCCAGCAGGGAGGGGAGGGGCCCTCAGTGGCTCTGAGCACGCTCCACACTGCCTTTTCCCCTGGTCTCTCCCCAGAGGCCCAGGGACACCTAGGACAGTCGGGGGGCACCTCCCCAGCTCAGCCCTGTACGCAGCACAC